TCCAGGTACAGATTCCTCATGAGTACAATCAAGTGTTCCATAATACCCATACTTCGCAATGTTGTCCATAGTTCACTCTCTCAGTTCTGATTGCTTAGTAGGTTCGCATATGTGGGTTGATGGTATGTTTCTGTCTATAATTCACCTGAAGGCAGAGTGGCCCTTCTGAAGCACCTGTAGTGGTTGGTGTTCAGCCCCATCCCATGCAGTTCTGCACACACCAGTGATCAGGCCTCAGCAGGCGTCCTCCTCCTCTATGGTTGTTCTTCATTGTCAGCTTTGAGGATTAGGGGAGTTTAGGGATTATGCTAAACTTTCCAGGTATTTAAAAATCTGTGCTTCTTCTTCACTCTTTGGTGGTCCTAAATCCCTTTGACAATCTGATGAAAGCAACTGACCCTCTCATTGGAAGAAAGTACATTATGCACTTAACTGAAAATGCCAGGTTAACCCTGACTCCTTTGTTAATATTTTTGGAATAAAATAGGGTATATATATGTCAGGGGTCCTGGTATGGTATTGTAGGATAAGCACTGGGTTGCTAATATGATGTCACTTAACAACAACAACATGATCTTAAGGTATATATTTAAATTTGTGTTGTTGTTGTTAAGTGCCATCAAGTCAGTTCTGACTCATAGTGACCCAGTGTATGGTTTCCAAGGAGAAGTTGGTGAATCTGGACCACTGACCTTGTAGTTCAAACTGTCATTTCAGTCTAGTGTATTATCTCACAGTGACACGCCATATCAGGACTCAAGTAAGAGCATACAAGGTGACAACTCAAAGGGTTATTTCTATTGTTGTTGTTAGGACTTCTGGTGTGGCACTGTAGGATCAGCATTGGATTGGGAACCACAAGTTGGCGGTTCACACCCAGCGGCTGCTCCTTAGAAACTCTATACCCCTGTATATGTTGCTATGAGTTAAAACTGACTCAGTGACACTGAACAACAACAATTTCTATGGGGTGCTCATTACTAGGTGGGAATAGCTCCATTCCCATCATTCTAGAATGTTAACTTTATTTGGAATTGTGTGATGGATAGCATTTCAGCTGATCCTCAAGGTGGATGGGGCTATTTCACTATTTCCGGGAGCTCATTGGCTAGATCATTAGTGCTACTATCAGTGAAGAACTGGAGAATCCTCAGTTACAATCTGAGGTAGCTTCTTTTCCTACATGTCTTTTCTCCGGAGCATTCCCTGATCACCAGGGTAACATTCTCCTCATGTTTGTCCTATTATGATGAAAGCCAGTGTTTCTCAAAGTGTGGTTCTGAGACCACATGTATTAGGATCCCTGAGGCGCTTGGGTTCCATGTCTTTAGGCACCTAGTAGATCAGATAAGGCTATAAACCTAGAATTTTACCAGATTTCCAGGTGAGCCTATGCACTCTCAAGTTGAAAGCCATACTTCTCGGCAGATACCTCTATATTTCAATTTGCCAAACATATTAATGCCTCACTAGTCAGAAGTCATCTGAAAATGTAGTGCTGGATAGTCAAGAAATGATTACAAGGAGATTGTAAAAGTAGGCTTTACAAAAAATAATGCAAAGAAAACCATTAATTACTGAGGATAATTCCTTCATGAAATTACTGATAGGCATAATCCTTTAATAAAAACTATAAAAATAATGGATCTTTCAGGAAAAGAATAGTAGAAAACAAAACAGAAAAAACATGCTGAGACCAGAAAAACTAGATGGTGCCCGACTACCACTACCAACTGCTCTGAAAGGGATCACGTTAGAAGGTCCTGGATAGAGTGGGAAAAAATGTGGAACAAAACTCAAAATTAAAAGAAGACCAGGAATACTGGCTAGGTAAAGACTTGTGGGACCCTAGACCATGGTCCTTGGTCACCCTTCAGGTCTAGCTATGAACCACCCCTGTGGCCCAATTTTCAGCCAAACAACAGATATATCTATATGGAGAACAATAACACTGGGAGGGACACACTATTAGAATAATCATAGGAAATTGAAAGGGCAGCATTACCTAAGGACAAAGTTCAGAAAGGTTAGGAACTAAGATAGGATAAGTGATGTCACATTGTGGGAACTGAAATTAGTGACATTAAAAAAGTGTGTAGGCACTGTTGAATGGAAAACTGACCTGCTGTATAAACTTTTACCCAATTCACAATAAAAAGTAAAAAACAAAACAACACAAAAACTACATGGATTATTGTGTCCCTAATTTAATCAGAGATTCAATGTGAAAGTATTTTGCTCCTTTATAGGAGCAAACAACTTTATCTTTCTTCTTCAGAATGACTGCTGGGTTGGAACACTGAACTTGCAGTTAGCAATCCAATGCTTAGCACACTGCACCACCAGAGTTCCTTCATTGTAAGCCTATGAATTCTTAAGTCCAAGAACATTTCTCCCTTATAGAGAACCAGAGAGACGGTAGCATGTGATGGGCTCAGTCCACTGTTGCTTTCTTTGACTCTAGAGGAGGCAACCCAAAGCCAAGGTATGTGGGCAGCTTCTTCATCACCCATCCACTGCAACGCTACGCGAGAGATCAGAACTGCTTCATAGGGTTTCTGAGACTGTAAATCCTTATGGGAGCAGGCAACCTCAGCTGAACCTGAGATTGTTGGATTCCAACTGTGGACCTTTCAGTTGGCAGCCTACGGCTTAACCCATGGCACCGCCAGAGCTCCTTTGTTGTTGTTAAGTGCCGTTGAGTAGGTTCCAACTCATAGAGACCCTGTATAGGGCTCCTGAGAAATGGCTGGTGGGTTTGAACTGCCAACCTTGTGGCTTAAAGTGGCCTTGCAATCTAGTGCATTATCCTACAACACTATACCAGGACTCCAGAGCTCCTTTATTGTTGTTAAGTGCCGTCTAGTTGGTTCTAACTCATAGCAACCTGGTATAGAGTTTCCAAGGAGCAGCTGGCAATCTCCTTGAGAAAGTAGAAAAAACTAGAAAACGGATTTTCCCCTAATGCCTCTAGAAAGGAATTAGTCCTTCTAACAACTTGGTTTTAGCCTGGGGAGACCTGTGTTCTGTGGCCTATGCAACTGTGAAACATTCTCAATGTTTTAAGCCATTAAACTTTGTTAATGTAATTTGTTAAAGCAGCAATGGAAAATGAATCCAACCTTCCCTAATCTCTATCATTAGAGACAGAGATCTAGCTCCCTCCTGCAGGAACCCTCCCTCCCACTCGCGTTATCAAATCACTTGTAGTGTGTTCAAGTTGGGTTGTTTTTGGTCTATCTTAGCTCTCCAACTAATGAATTGTATTCTATTCCAGTGTGCTGCTGTTGTTGTTAAGTCCCTCCGAGTTGGTTCTGAGATGCTGCTGGTGAGTTTGAACCACCAACCTTGTGGTATAGCAGCTCTATAGAACAGAGTTGATCTACCCCATACAGTCTCCTAGGCTGTAATCTTTACAGAAGTAGACACTCAATTCTATTCTACATGGAGCTGCTGGTGAGTTTGAACTGCTGACTTTTTAGTTAGTGGTTGAGTACCCTAACAGGTGCGCCATCAGGGCAGAGAACACGATTTTTTCCACCCCCCATACTCCATTCAGCTCTCAAGAGTGCTGGGCTCAAAACAATATTTAAAAGGTTTCCTCTTCACTAACACTTGTCAATGAGATGGTATCACAATACTATCATGCCATCTTGAGCAACTCAAGTAAAATTTAACTCCCTGCATATTACCAGGTAATATGTAAAAAAATGTAAGCCTCTTAAGGACAGAAACCATGTCTGTCCCAGTACACTGTGCAAACCCAACAGTAGTGATCAAGTGGATCAATAGTTAAGAGCTACACATAGGAATCCTGGTGTGGCACTGCCAGTTAATGCGCTGGACTGCAAGGTCAGTCTGAACAGCAAGGTCAGTGGTTCAAGCTCACTAGCCGCTCCTCAGAAACCCTATACAGGATCGTTGTGGGTCAGAACCTATTTGATGGCACTTAACAACAACCCACAGGAGGAAAGGGGGGTGCCTTTGTAAGATAAACACTGGACTGAGACCCCAAGATGGGCAGTTGGAGCCCACAAGTCACTCAGTGAGAGAAAGTTGAGACTTTCTGCTCCTGTAAAGATTTACAACCTTGGAAATCATATACGGGGTTGCTGTGAATCAGAACTGACTCAATGACACTTAACAACAACACCATACATAATAAGAACAATAAACACAGGAAAATTGTTGCACCTAATTAAGCAATTACTAAATATTGCTAGGATTATTATAGTAAATCTATTTTATTCAACACTCACTGTTCCTTCTTGTTTGATGATGGTGTTATAATTAGTAGCTCTTTCAAAGGCAACGCCATCTTCACTGCAACAGAATGGAGAAATAATTTTAGCAAGACACCTGCTTCTGAGACAAGAATGAAGGCTCATTTACAGTTAGGCTATTTGTATGGGGTATAACTTTTATTTTAAAACACCCCTCCAATTTTCTACCCACAATTGGTGATTACCACCTGCTTAGAGTTAAAAAAATATCCATTTCTGTAACTGGGACAACCACATATTTATTTTTAAAGGTTTATTCCCTTCATCATAGGTAGAATTTGTACCTGTGAGAAAAGAAAAATCTTCAAGCAAACTAAATCTTACTTTCTGATTTCTGGGATTTTTGTATTACTAATTCAGAAATGATCATCCTCTGAGGACATGGACTGGAAAACTGGTCACTAACAATAGAGATATAAGTTTCATTTAATCATGCCTCTTGGATTTAAATGGAGTCCTGATGTGGTGCTGCGGGTTAATGCGCCAGAATGCAAAGCCATCTGAACTACAAGGTCGATGGCTCAAGCTTACCAGTCGCTCTTTAGAAACCCTATACAGGGTAGCTATGGTTAGAACTGACTCGATGGCACTTAACAACAACAACTTGGATTTAAATATTATAGTGAAGGCAAGATTCTCCCTATCTATCTATTCAATACAGTACTTTTTGCTTTAATTAAGGGCAATTGAGAAACTAGGAAAGTTGGGGCCCCCACTTCATGGCGTATGTGCAGTCTCTGGATGTCAGAGTTGGAGGCAGTGCCTCCCTTTCGGTTTTGCACCCATCAGTCCCAGAGCTGTGGTGAGCTGAAGGCAGACATCACTCAGCAGTGTCCTTTCCAAGTAAACACACATTCTCACACTTGATGGTTGCAATGCCAACATGACAAGAGAATAGTAAAACAGTGGTCAAGGGAGGGTGGCCTGGGAGTGGTGGGAAAGATCTAGAGAAAGATTCCGCATTCCAATCCAGGCTCTCAAATGCCTTGAGGAGCCAGCTTCTGAAGATTTGTCAGTCCATTCTTCAACTCAAAACATGGAAAACTTGGTAGTCAAATTTCCCCATCATACTCTAGTATAAACACAAGGCAGCCAGAGTCAGTCTTAATACAAACCCACTAGAAGACCATCTCTTCATCTTTATACAGACTTCTATGTGTCAGTCACTGTGGTAGGTTCTGGTGACCATAGTTGTGGTCAAGGAGAACAAGGTATGCTCTCCTGGAGGTTGTATCTTATATGGGAGCTAAGATGTTATGTAGCTAACTCTGAAGACACTGAGTGGGGTTATGACAGCTGATGTATAGCGCGCTATGGGGACATATATCAGAGGACCTACCCTATTCTCCTGCTGTTTCAAGAGTCTCCATGCCTGCCACTTGGCAGCTTGGGAAGCTCAGGAGTTTCATATATGGTTAGTTAGCCTGGTAAGGTTGGTACTGATCACATTACCATTTGTGGACAACACTATTAAATAAACTCTCTTGATGATGATAATGATCTTCACGGAACACTCAGAAACAGAAATTTGGAAGCTAGAAGAACAGGTTTCAGATTTCAAAGAACCACAGGAGAAACCCGCCACCTTGCCACTATCCCGCTCTCATTCTGCTAAATCTAGAGGCCAGATGACTACGTAACACTGTCAATTCTTTTAGATTTTAAAATGCAGTTCTCCAGTTTATGCATGTCTTCAATGCAGAATGTGAATTTAATCCAACAGCCATCGGAAGAAGAGTATGTTGTTGTTAAGTACCGTCGAGGCGGTTCCGACCCATAGCGACCCTGTATAGGGTTTCCAAGGAGCAGCTGGTGAGCTTGAACCACTGACCTTGCAGTCCAGCGCATTAGCCCACAGTACCACACCAGGACTTCGAGAAGAAGAGTATAGCTACCTCATCTTTACAAGGAGGACTGAAAGGGAAGGCCTCATACAGGGATCCTATGCTTAGTTTTTAGTTGGGGTTTTTATGCACTGAGACAATAGTGGAGGTAGAAAAATTATTTCAACTTTGTAGAGAGATAAGATCATATGTAAAAAACCCTGTAAACCACACACACAAAATCTTGTTGTTGTTATATGCCGTGGAGTCATTCTGACTCATAGCAACTCTGGGTTTCTGAGGCTGTAAATCTTTATGGGAGCAGAAAGCCTCATCTTTCTCCTGCGGAACCGCTGGTAGTTTCGAACTGCTGACCTTGTGGTTCACAGCCCAATTCATAACCACTATGCACCAGAGCTCCACTTGGTCACCTCCAAAGGAGCTGTTGTGTTTCTTATTGCTTCTGGGATGACCTAATTTAAGCCAATAGCTCTTAAAATGGGTCAAAATGTAGCTTAAATGGGATTATATTTAATTTTAAAAAACTCTTTGTTTTTGTCCTATGTCCCGTGCAAAAGAAACCTGGTGATGCTGTAGAATAAACACTGGATTGCTAACCTCAAGGTTGGCAGCTCAAACCTAGCAGTGGGAGAAAGATGAGGCTGTCTGCTCCAGGAAAGATTTATAGTCTCAAGAAGTCATAAGGTTGCCATGAGTTGGAATTGACTCAGAGGCAGTGAACTTGGTTTTTTTGAAGCCCATACAAGGAGTCACGGTGTGGTGTTATAGGGTAAACACTGGACTACTAACCACAAGGTCGGCAATTCAAACCCACCAGTGATTCCTTGGGAAGTCTAGATAGGGTCGCTATGAGTGGGATCTGAGTCTACTGCGCTTAACAACACATGAGAGTAAAGATCAATGAAGATATGCATGAGTTAGAGGGTGTCTAGGACGTAGGAAAATGGAGAATCAATGTTGGAAGGCAAGTCTTAGTACCCTGAGATGGGGATTATTGGAGGTTCATCCATGTCCAGAGGATCTAGAAGTCTTCGGTCGAGTGAGCACTGCAGACCAGATGAGACCAGGCCTAGGAAGTAAGGCTGTGTTCCACAGATGCTCCCCACTGGAGTCTATCATCCACATAGAGTGTGCTAACAGGGTGAGGCCACCCGTTTGAGGTCCCCGTTTCAGATGGAACTCGCCAGGATGCTAGCCAGATGCCCTTTTATCCTGGGGTTCAGTGCTCCCTGAGTAATTTCCATGTGTGGTTCTGATTTAGTTCTTTGGGACATTTTATTAGGTTGTGATCAAAAGCATAGTCGTTGTTCAAATACGGCTTCAGTAAAACCACACACAACACTCAGAGCTGGTTTTGCCATGAAGGAAGGGTCTCCAGTCTGAAAAAAGGCTTCTCCTACCTGCTTTCTGAGACTTGCTGAAAACAATGGTGCTAAATCATCACGACAGAGAAAAAGGCCAATGCCTACAATTTGGAAGTGACACTAAGGCATGGTGGTCCAAGATAGTTGGGCTTCATGTGACTCACCATTTCAGTAACTACTCCACATGGCTCGAGCCAGGCAGGGGCCTGGGATGGATGACAGGACTTTATCAGATGACAGGATGATAAGAACTGGAGTCAGTCAAGAGGTGCTGGAAAGGGAAGGAATCAGCTTGAAATGGAGGAAGACCAGGGGCAGAAAGGAGTCGGAGGAGAGTTTCCATTCTTATCTAACGTTGCCAGTAACTCATTGTTGATTCCAATTCACAGCGACCCTGTATAGGGTTTCCGAGGCTGTAAATATTTACAGGTGCAGACTGCTTCATCTTTCTCTCATGGAGCAGCTGGTGGGTTTGAACTGAGGTTAGCAATCCAGCACGTATCCTGTAGTATTGCCTGGGCTCTTTTACGGGAGCTCTTGTTTGTTAAGTGCCACCAAGTTGGTTCCAACTCATAGTGCCCCTGAATAGGGTTTGAACTGCTGACCCTTTGATTAGCAGCTCAGTGCTTATCTTACAGCTCCACACATCTGGGATCTTACTGGAGCTCTAGCACCCTCAATTTTCCACCCCTACAGTGGCTGATAGCGTGGTGAATTATGAGCTGAGCTTCTAACTGCAAGATCAGTGGTTCGAATCTACAAGCCAGCTCTGTGGGAGAAAGATGAGGCTTTCTACTCCCATAAAGATTTACAGCCTCCGGAATAGAAGCAACCACTGTTGAATGATGATGCATGGAGGGGACTGTAATCATTGCAATGATACGAAATACGATAGGATGAGTATAAAACTGATGTTCTCCCATGTAAACGATCACTCAGTTCACAATAAAAGCTTAAAAAAAACACAAAACCCAACAGTTATAACCTTGAGGTCCTCTGTGGCATTCAACAAAAATGCTGCAAACTTTAAAGTAAGAATTCCTTTACAATACATTTTAGGTTTTCTAAACCTCATTTTAATGTAAAAGAGTTCCTTATGGCTTTTAGGATCTAAAAGCAAATAAAAAGTTGACACTTGTGCATCCCCCCCCCCACACACACATGCTCCACCACCCCCCCCCCCCCCCCCCCCCCCCCCACGCCCCCCCCCCCCCAAAAAAAAAAAGATTTACAGCCTCGGAAACTCTATACAGGATTGCTGTGAGTCAGAACTGACTCCATGGCACATAACCACTACCATCACCACAGTGGACCAAAAAAAAAACCAACCGCAACTCCCTTGCTGTGGAACCGGTTCTGACTCATGGTAACTCTATGTGTGACAGAGCTCGACTGCTCCAAAGGAGGTTCTTGGCTGTAATTATTAAAGAGCAAGTTGTCAGGTCCTTCTTTCACACTGCCCCTGGGTAGGTTTGAACCATCGAACTTTAGACTAGTAGTCAAATGTGAACTGTTTGTGCCACCTAGGAAGAGACTCCAAAAAAAAAAGGAAGAGAATGGAATTTGATGGCCTCAAAATCCTTTGTAGCTTCAGGATCCTATAACATTTGCCAACTTATGGACACCACAGCTTCAGGATGGTTAGGATGCTTTCTGGGGTTCATATGAGAGACTGGAGGTCCATCTCCTCTGGGTAGCCAAATTTTGCACTTCATTCAGTTTAGTGTAGAAATAGCATGAGAACCACTTTTTACTTTAATTAGTTGTTATAATTAATTTGCCTAAAAATAAGTCTGAGACAAGGTTATACAGCACGCAACTCATCCCTCTCT